CTTTCGACTCTGGTATACGAGATGCCTGTCACCCCGCTGCCTCCTCTCCTCTCGTCACCGCCACACTGCAGCACATTTGACTTTAACATGCAGCTTTGTGTCTGCGACATTGTGAATCCCCATGGCAACCACCGGGATGTGCATTCAGAGTCTGGCATGAGCAGATATTAAACTGGAGGGCAGCTCTGACAGTGGATAAAAATTGCATGTTGATGAGAATGAGCCCGACGTCACTTTTTCCTAAAATAGGAACAACGTTCAAATATTTAAAACGGAGACATTGAGGGAGGAACGCCGTTGATGCCGTAGCTGCTTTAAAATAACTCGASGTTGTTTTGCTTTTCCCATGTGCTCCTGCAGACGGTGAGACAGATGTGGCCCTACGTCTGCCAGTTTGTGGAGAAACTGTTCCGCGAGGTGATCGAGCCGGCCGTGAAGGATTCCCACGCCCAGCTCAGCACCTTCTGCTTCAGCAGGATTGATATTGGGAATAAAGTGAGCATCGTCTCTGCCGGGCACTTCGTTTGTGTCTCACATGTTACAACACAAGTTAGCAGGTGCTGCGCGACAGCTGGCTCAGGGTGCAGCCTGAACGTGAACACGCGCCACAGGGGGAGGTCACCGACACTCATTCTGCTTTCTCAAATAGTTTCCATGGAGGGGGACTGGGGAAGAGCTTGACCTTGCACCAACTGTGTGGGGGTCGATGGGGGTTATTGTTATAGTGTTAATGGTTCTTTCTGTTATTCTGTAGCCCCTCAGGATCAATGGGGTCAAGGTTTATACAGAAAACGTGGACAGGAGGCAGATTATCATGGACCTACAGATCAGGTGAGTCAGCGTTGTTAGTTCACTCTTGTGGATTCTTTTTTTTTTTGCCTTTTAGTTAATTTTCTTTTTGCAGTTCTTACAGCAGCACATAGCAGAGTTTATAGCAAACATTCATGGAGTGACTAAGATCAGCTGGTGTATCTGTTTACAGCTCTGCTAAACCAACTCACATGGTTTTCATACAAAGCTCCGTAAATACATGACCTCTTTCCTGTCCGTCCTGAAAAACTCCTCAACACTAATGAGACGTTTCAATCCAGTACAGGAGACAGATCCTGTCAAAACACATGACAAGCTGAGGCCAAATCTGTGTGTGGTTCATTCTGTTTTGTTCTTTGTTTTTTTATTTTTATTTTTCAAAATAAAATCGCAAATAGAAAAAAAAAAGAAAAAAGGTAAAATTGAACTAACAAAAAATCCACAGTGTTTGATTTTTGCTTTGCTTTGATAAATCCAAAATAAAATATGTGATTGTTTTTTTTAATCATGATCCCGGAAATGATGGACATCATCAAAGAATAAGAGGTTATAATGTCTGGAAGAAGACTGCTTAAAAACATAAAACATTCCTAAAGATATTGGCAATGGCAGCACGCAAACCTTATTCTGCATAACTTCGAAAATTAAAGCTAATTTGTTTACGGTAAAATTGACTTCCTCTAAATACGACTTTTGTCTGTTTCTAAAGTGCTCAGTGAAAACGTAGCGCCTCAGGAATTCAGGTTCATATTTCCAGTTCTGACAGAAAGTAACAAATGATGCGCTAACAAAATATAAAGTCTATTTAAAATGAAAGAAAGAAGAAAAAAGAAAGCCTTTTTTCAGCTTTGCTATTGTCATTTCTTTATTT